CCAATATAATCCAGTTTTGTCAACATTAAAAATCTGTTCAGGAAGAAACCCGTTTTCTTCGATGATCTTAGTCAATGCTTTAAGAAAATTGGCTGCTGCTTGTTCGTCAACTGATGCACTTTCATCTTGCTTCTTAATAGAGGGATAACTTCTTCGTACTTATAAACCAGCCTTGATTCGCTTTAAACTCTAAATCTTTCTCATCTTGGTATTTTTGTTCAGGTCCTCAAACAAAGACAACACTTTTGCTTGAATGATTTCTTGACTAATAGCAGAAACGCTGATGATTCAGTCTATCAATCCGAAGAGAAAGAAGTTGTTCCATCTCTTCAATGATTTTCCTCTTTTCTTATTGGGGCAAAATATAAAGTCATAAATGAATGAGAATGAGAGAGTAGACGATAAGCAGACGTATACCGGGGGTATTCCTAAACTAAACGGGATTTCAATTTCGCGGGAATCACGAGTGGCGCTGACAACCAAGCCAAATGGTAGATATTGGAACTGCCAATGGAAAACGCCAATATTGAGCTCTTAAAGATCGCTAAATAAGACGAAAAAAAGTCACAGATGTTTTTATATTTCGTTCTCTAGGATTTATGATGATTACATTAACATTTACTGTAAATGTACGTATTTTGATATGATTTTATAAAACTTTTATTCTTATTTATTGTACAGTAAACTGATTGTGTTTTTAACGCTTTTCTACTGATATTACGACTTCAATATCAGAGGTGGACAAATTTATTTATTTACTTTATTTGTAAAATCGAATAAAATGACTTGATTGTCATTTTTTATATACTTTTTAACAAACAACGTATAATCGAGAACGACGTAACTCGAAACGGCGTAACCCGATGTATACCTGTAAAGTTTTAAGGGTTGAATTGTGATACTTATCAACTTACAGTAATATTTTAAGTAAAATATAATATATACAGAATAGATTTTAAGAAAGCATGTCACCCCCCCCCACAAAAAAACCTGAAAAATTATAAATTAATACAGTAAATAAATATAAATATATGTAACACATTACGATAAAGAGTGTGTCATACATGTAAGTAGGCCACTACATTTTCAGCTAAATGTCCATTCGGTTAAATGTCTGTCGGCCAAATGTCCGTTCGGCCAAATGTCCGTTGGTCAAAGGTTGTGTGGCCAAATGTCTGTCGGCCAAATATACGTCGGCTAAAGGTCCTTCAGATAAATGTCCGTCGGCCAAAGGTCCCTCGGCCAAATGTCCGTCGGCCAAAAGTCTTTCGTCCAAATGTCCGTCGGCCAAAGCTCCTTCAGCCAAATGTCCGTCGGCCAAAGGTCCCTCGGCCAAATGTCCGTCGGCCAAAGGTCCTTCAGCCAAATGTCCGTCGGCCAAAGGTCCTTCAGCCAAATGTCCGTCGGCCAAATGTCCGTCGGCCAAAGGTCCATCGGCCAAAGGTCCGTCGGCCAAAGGTCTGTCGGCCAAAGGTCCATCGGCCAAATGTCCGTCGGCCAAAGGTCCTTCAGCCAAATGTCCGTCGGCCAAAGGTCCTTCGGCCAAATGTCCTTCAGCCAAATGTCCGAGTAGCATTTGTCATTAATGGTACTGGGGATGGTGAAGATAGGTTACCAAACTAGAAACTGAGGTCCATTCAAAAATCACACCCCGTTTATAGATGACATGAAACAGGAAGTCAGAAAAACAAACTGATTCCTTAAATAAAACAGCTTAAGTTTTTAGCAGTGACATTGGTATGGAGTTTGGTATTTGCCCGACATGAAACGAGGGAGGAAGATGGTTTGTCGAAATACAGCTCTAGCATCTGAGGAACCTGGGAAACCAATTGTCCGTCGGCCAAATATCCGTTCGCGAAATGTTCAATTACCACAGGAAGCATAGTAACATCAGTTGGGATTTTGCAGGTGGAATAGTCACGTGACATTATTCCGATGTAGTTTTGGGAGTTACCTTTAAATGTACCAACTGTAATTAATAAGCGACGGAAGAAAGAAAAAAGGTAATTTTCACAACGCGTTATTCCCACGTGAATTACAATTCAAAGCAATTACAATTGTTAAATTGTGATGTAATGTGGGAATTTTAAATGCTGAAAATTCCGATCTTTTTTTTTTTGTTCAGGTAAAATCAATTAACGGTTGGACGGAAAAACGTTATTTTTTTTAATTTTATCTTGTTACAAAGGGGAAAAAAATGCCCAATTAACTGACGTCATTTATAAGCAGATTATTCGAGCGATAATTGTTCTGTCGGCGAAAGTTCTCAGCGTGTTTCGCAAAGACTAAACTAAAAAAAAGGAGATTTTAGATTAAAATTAACTCTGAACATTTTTGGGATAATCCTTAATAAGGCACGCCGGCTTTTCAAAATGGATCATTAACTGAATTGCTCGATGATTAAAAACGGCTTCAGCCGAATGAACACTTGTGGGCGTCTTAGAGAGGACTATCTTTCATCGAATTTAAACTGACGCTACAGGATCACAAAACAAAGAACTCAGCCGAATAAGTCTTGAAGTCTTTCAACAACGGCAACTATTAAAACGGATTTCAGCTTACGGTCACATGACAACAACTACGTACGATCCCGAAGTTAAGCAACGTCGAGCCTGGTTAGTATCTAGTTGGCTGACCGCTTGGGATTATCTGGTAAGCTTGGATGTGCGGGTGGTGTAATGGACCTGTTAATGTGAGTACGGGTTGTGTAACGCGGAATGGTAATCGGAGAGCCGAGTTCCAATTCCGGTTGGGTTCGTTATATCCACTTACACGCAAATACCCTTCAGCTCTTCTCTGCCGCCAACCGGATATGGCTTAGTTTGTATTTACTCACCCCACCCTCCCACGAGGTCAGATTGTGACACAAGGTCGGTTTAATGTGGGGAGACCCTGAACATCCACCCGGGCTAGGACCAAAAATTGCGCGCAGCCCCCGCAACTGTCGGTTTTTGCTGGCCACCGATCACTCTCTCTAGCGCAATGAGAGGGTGTGGCCTCAGGCAGCTGTTCCCTAGGGCTGGGCACCTCTCAGTATAATCCTCCTGAGTTGCGATTCTGTCCTTCGACGGAATCGCTCGTGAGCGCACTCTGCCCGAAGACAGAGACGAAACTGATATAATTATATTGAGAGTCGCCCAGCCCTGGTGAACATCTGCCCGAGGCCGCACCCTCTTATTGCACCAGAGAGAGGAATTGGTGCTCGCACCGAGGCTAGCGCAATCGACGGTTGAGGGGGCTCGGAAAAAATGTTCCTAGCCCGGGTGTACGAGCTCGGACTCCTCACATTAAACCGACCTTGTGTCACAACCTGACTTCGTAGGGAGTTGATTAAATATAAATATATATATATATATATATATATATATATATATATATATATATATATATGTGTGTGTGTGTGTGTGTGTGTGTGAAGTGTGTGTGGGTGTGTGTGTGTGTGTGTGTGTGTGTGTGTGTGTGTGAAGTGTGTGTGGGTGTATGTGGTGGGTGTGTGGGTGTGTGTTTAGGCAGAAAACTTTCTTTCATGCACATTTCATTGAGTACGACAGACAAGGTGCTTTTATTTAGTTTTTTTATACAATTTCTTATGCGATCTAATAATTTTTTTTCTTTTCGGATGATAAATTATATAAAACCTGTCCGAATGTTATTTTTATTCGGTCGCTTTCGGCTATACATTTAGACATTTTCAAGGATTAAATATTTTAACTGTTAAATAAGAAATAGTTTGTTGTATGTATGTTTTATAATATGTTTTTATTTTTCAAAACATGGTCAACATATTGTGTCCATGTTCAAAGTTAATATTATTAAGTGTTGTTTTTATTAATAAGGCTTCCATTATTTCTTTGCCTTTTCATATAATTTATCATCGGAAAAGAAAAAAAAAATTAGATTGCATGAGAAATTGTATAAAAAATAAATAAAAGCACCTTATCTGTCGTATTCAATGAAATACATACATATATATATATATATATATATATATATATATATATATATATATATATATATATATATATATATATAGGTTGGTGCAAAAATAATGACGTAAGAATGTCGTTTTTGACGTTAAAATACGTTAAAAGCGACATTATTACGTCATTATTTACACCAATATATATATATATATATATATATATATATATATATATATATATATATATATAAAAGACATTTTATGTCTCTGAATTTAGAAAACGCTATTGTATTCATATTGTTAACTGAAAATTACGTCAAGTACTGTCACGTGTGGAAATATTGTTTTGCTTGGCAGAGTATATATATATATATATATATATATATATATATATATATATATATAATAGTGTGTTTGGGCAAAAGTCCGAAATTTATGCAAGTTTCATTAAACCCAACTCGCAAGCTATTGAGATTAAGCTTTGTATTCAGTTTTTCTTGACTTTGCATAAGTATTTTCCTTTCTGGAAATAAAACGTGTAAAAACTCCTTTTTCGGAATGCCGATGTGGTGTAATGGTTAGCAAGCTTGTCTTGCTAGAACGGTTACGACTGTGTAGTGAGTTTGATCTTGACTGGGTGCCCTATAATTTCGGCCTTGTGCCACATCTAAGCTACGCTTGGAAAATCTCTACAACCCCTCCTTTCACATTGCGTGTCACAGAAATTTCAGACACCCCTTCTGATGTTAAATGTAAGTTTCCTCCTTGTTTGTTTCCTCTCCAAAACCTCATCGTTGCTCACATGTTCGATACATGATATCCTTAGCATCCTTCTGTAGAAGCACACCTTTGTTGCCTCGAGTCTCTTCTTCATCTTTGAGGAGGTCATCCAACGTTCGCTGGCTCAAAGAAGGACAGATGTCACGTAACAGCTCAGTATAATTTTCTTCGTTATCAAAGAAATTGTTTAAGGGCACCTCATTTTTTATGAGATATTTTGAGATATTTTGAAATTTCCGTGATTCCCGAGCAGTTTTGTATTATTTCAGACCAAACTCAAGTCTCAGACGAAGTGAAA